CCCTGGATTGCGCACCGGGTCTGTCTGTGGCCGGGCGGCCCCGTCAAGAACCAAAGATGATACACTCCTAGGTCTTGAGGCTCCCCGCACCCACAGCCACTCCGTCTTACCAGGTTCAGCTGTAGCCTGTTGTCCCCACTGCCTTCAGGCAACGCGAGAGGGCAGCCACGGCATCACTCAGGTCACCCGGGATGGAGCTGTATAATTGGGTATCCTCAGCGTACTGATGATACCGCATCCCCTGGTGCCGGATGACCTACATGACCCAGCGGTTTCATGTAGATCTTAAATGGGAGCAGCGAGAGCACCGAACCCTGGGGCACCCCACAGAGTAGGGGCCGCAGGTTGGACCTCTCGCTCCCTGTCAACACAGGGACCAGGGACCCTGGGTCCAGCCTTGGAGAAAGGAGCTGAACCAGCACAGCTCTGTGCCACCCAGCCCCAACTCCTGCAGCCGACCCAAAAGGATACCACGGCCAATGGTATCGAAAGCCGCCGAGAGGTCCAGAAGAGCAAGGATGGATGCGCTACCTCCATCCCGCTCTCGCCAGAGGTCATCCACAAGCACGACCACATAGATAGATTTTTGCCATGGCAATCTGTCCCTAATCTTCAGGTCTCCCAATTGTGACCCCATCGCCACTCTTGGCCATCCTCCTCCTTCCAAAAATGGAGACTTAGCTAGCTCAAAATGACGCTCAGACAGTGCTCATCACCAGCTCCTCCAAGTGGCCCCAAGTGGGGAGCCAGAAGAAGGTGTTGGTCAGTGGCCTGGAGAAGAGATGACTGCAGGGAACTATGATACCTGGCTTGGTAATGGTACTAGTGACAAAACTGTTGGAATAGCCCCCTTTGAGTCCACAGTGTGAGGTACGTGAAAGGAAGGAAATGTAGTTTTAGGTTGTATCAGCAGATTTAGAGCTTCCAAATCACGGGAAAGAAGAGTTCCACTTTATTCCGCTTTTCTCAGGCCCCTTCTCAGGTCAACCCCACACTAAGAAAGTCACAGAGACCCCAGAACAGGTTCAGTGAAGGTCTGTTAAGATGGCAAGGCAACTAGAAACACTGCTAGAGTGAGAGACTGAAGGAGCTGGGCAGACTGAGGGTGATGCAGTAGTTTCTTACAAATGCTTGGAAGATGCCACACGAAAGAACATCACGCCACGTTCTGGTGTTCCAGCTCGGCTCGATGGCCGCCTGGTGCTGATGCACTCATTGGCCTTCCTGCCCCAAAGAGGAGATGAGGCTGTGTGCCCCCAGGACCTCTGGCTCTGAGTGTCCGCAGGTGTGGGGGGGGCAAGGATCACGTCACAAAACGTGCGGGATGACATAAGCACGCAAACGCTGAGGCTTATCTACCTGCCTCAGACATCGGGGCGCAGGGGCGCACTCTTGACCTTTGCACGATAAAAAGCCCTGCCCGTGTTTCGTACATGCGGTGCTGTGGTGGTTTCTGGAGGATCCCGCCTCCTGCTTTGTAACGCTACGGTTGCATCTGCACGAAACAGGGCAGCCTTCGTCCACCTTCGTCATATACAGCAAGCCAAGCCAAGCCAAGCTGCAGGTGCTCGCTGATCAATATGCAACCTTCCTGTCAGCAGCAGCTCCTCTTCCTCGTGTGGCTCACCCAGTTCCAGCAAAGG